ACAACAACAAGAACAACAACCAACTGAAAATAAATATTTGTTAATACTATCGCAGACAAGAATCTCATAAGAAAAGTTTACAGAATACTCCTGATCCTCTGCAAGAAAAAGACTGATAACCCAATTACAAAATGGACAAAAGGCATGGAAAGGATTTTCACAGAGGAAGAGACTCAAATGGCAAATGGACACATGAAGAAATGCTTAAAATCACTGGCAATAAGAGAGATGCAAATCAAAACCACAATGAGGTACGATCTCACTCCAGTAACAGTGGCAAAGTTTAACAGGGCAGCAAGTGATAACTGTTGGAGAGGATGTGACGAGAAAGGAACTCTTTTACACTGTTGGTGGGATTGTACAGTCATCCTGGAAGACAGTTTGATGCTTCCTCAAAAAAGCTGAACATAGAAATTCCACATGACCCAGATGTTCCACTACTTGGAATATTGTTGTTATGTACCGCCAAATCACTTGCAACGCATAGCGACTCTATGTACAACAGCCTTAAACTCTGCTCTATCCCTTGACAATCTCATTGTCTCTGACACTCCTATCCCCATTACCTTAGCAATAGAATCAATCCATCTCATCGAGGGTCTTCCTCTCCTGTGCTGTCCCTCAACCCTCCCAAGCATGGTGTCCCTCTCCAAGGACTGGTCCCTCCTTGCAACATGAGAACTGAGGCACAAATGGAGACTTGTACACCAGTATTCCTAGCAGTATTATTCACCATCACAAGACCATGGTAACAGCCCAGATGTGCAGCCACCATTGAATGGATTGAGAAATTATGGTATATTCACATGGTAGAATACTATGCAGCACGCATAATCCGTGATTTTGTAAATTCTTACCTAACTCAGGAGGAACCGGAAAGCATTATGCTGAGTGAACTAGCACAGTCCCACAGGACAAATATTGAGTAAACCCATTATTGTAGAATGAATATAAGGATCCAAGGGGGGAGGGAAGCAGAGGAATGACGATATGCTGGGGGAGGGGAGATTAATCATGGGGTTGGACAATTAGATGGGTTGGGGGTGAGGGAAATTGGAAGAATATGTTCTAGAAAACAATGTATTTGCATTTTGAATTTGTTGTTTGTTGTTATGTGCTGTCGAGTCGTTTGCGACTCATAGCGACCCTATGTACAACAGCCTTAAACCACTGCTCTATCCTGTGCCAGTCTCACTGTCTCTGACACACCCATCCCAATTACCCCAATCACTGAATCAATCCACCTCATAGAGGGTCTTCCCCTCCTGCGCTGTCCCTCTACCAAGCATGATGTCCCTCTCTAAAGACCTGTCTCTCCTTACAACATGTCCAAAGTATGTCAGATGAAGCCCCAGAATCCTTGCCTCCAAGGAGCAGCCTGGTTTAACCCTCTCTAGGATGAATCTGTTTGTTTTCTTGGCAGTCCACAGTACATTCAATCCTCTTCTCCAGCTCCACAGCTCAAAGGCGTCAGTTCTCCTTCTATCCTCCCTAGTCATTGTCCAACTCTCTGATGCATTTAGTATAATTAAAAAAAAAATTTAAAAACTTGCAAAGAATTTAAAAAAGAAGAGCCCCGGTGGGGTAAGGAGCTCTCTGTGGGGCTTCTAACCAAATGGTCAGCAGTTTCTGCTGGGAGCGAGATGAGTCTGCTCCTGTTAAAACTGCAGCCTTGCAGTGGGATATCCACCCACCCCCATTCTCCACAGAGGTCGCTGGAACAGTGGAGAGTGCAGCCGGTAGTTCTGTTGTTGTTGATTTAACCCCTTTGTGAAGTGTGTGGAGAGACCACGTTTAGTTCAGCAACCAGGAGAGGCCGGCACTACTGCGTGTTTAAGTATAAAGTGGACTGCTCTGCCCGATGGCGTTGAAATCATTCTGCCCCTAAATCACAGCCAGCCGTGGCCAAGAAAGAGCAGCTTGCAGGTGGGACCACGACAGCGTGGTGATCTGACATGGGAAGACACGGGGCCGCATCATCTTTTGGGGGAAGCCAGCATCATGACGCCTTGTGCGTAGGGCTGGTAAGCCGGTCACACGTTTGGGACTTCCCAAGTCTTCTTAAAAGTCTAATGTGTGAAGTTCCTCCCAGGGTAGGACGTAATTTTCCTTCTTCAGTTCACATGGTTTTACCTTTTTTGTGACTCCACTTTGTCAGAGGACAAGATAAACAGTTTTGGGAATACAAATTTTCCGTTTCCAAAAGAATGGTGTTCTGCACACCCATGTTTATCACAGCTTTGTTTACAATAATAGCAAAGAGTTGGAAGCAACCTAAGGGTCCATCAACAAACAAATGGATAGGGAAGCTGTGGTATATCCACACAATTGAATACTCCACCACATTGAAAAACAAGGAACTCATGCAATATTATTCAAAGTGGGTGATCCTGGAGGACATTAAGCTGAGTGAAATATCTCAGTCACAAAGGGACAAACACTGCATGGTGCCACTGTTGTAGAATGGGTCTGACATCAGGGTGGGGGTAAGACAGAAAAAACTGGATAAATTATGTATATTGTATTGAAACAGATGAGGGAAATAACAGATTAGAAGTGATATATGATTGAGTATTATGGTTAGCACAGGAATCCAGAATTACGTTGCATAGAGAAGTGTACTCGGGGTGGGGTGGGGAGAAGGGATGTGGGAATTGTATACTAATGAAGGAATTTTTTTTCCTTTTTCTTTTCGGAGCGGGGAGCGAGCTGGTGGGGAGGGGTGGGCAGGGAGAAAAGTGCGGCAATGGATGAATGGAAATCCAAAACCTCTGTAAATGTCTATTAAAATTAATAATAAAAAAAGACGTAAACACACACACACACACACACACACACACACACGAATGGTGTTCTCACTAAGCTCCGTGGCACTTTAGACATCAGCTCTTCTCGCCAGCCGTCACTGCAGCACCTTGATGTGGGTTTCTGAACAACTGGGCAGAGCAGCGAGCCACTGTGTGTTTTCTCAAACTTCATTACTATGTGCTCCCTCAGTGACCAGTGGGGGCCTCACTAGGACATTCTGTTTCTTCCTGAGGGTCCAGAGGGGGCTTCACTGCTCTGTTTTGTGTCCTGAGGGTCCAGTGGAGGCTTCACTACTGTGTCCTGTGTCCTCCCGAGGGTCCAGGGGGGACTTGAGGATGGCATTCTTTGCCTTGAGTGTCCAGTTGTGGCAGCCTGTCTGCCCTCGTGTTGAGAGGCCCCATGGCCCTTTGAGTCAGAATCCTGAACTCAATCCATTTTGAGACACTCGCGCCAAGGCCAGCAGCAGGTGCTCATGGGAAGACTTAGTGATGGTAACTTTGGAAAGGTCAAGGTGCAGTGAGGCTGAAATTAAAAATTCTATTTAAAATGTAATTAAATTTAAAAATCTAATTAAAAATCCTATTTTAGAGAAATGTTTAATGATGGGAACAGTTACAACGTGAAGTTTTTAAGGGAGGCTGTAGATTCCACAGCATAAGCCCAGTACTGCTGGGGAAGGGAGAGCAGCAGGTTTTTACTAAATGCTGGAAGCACACACAGGAGAATGTGAGTGATTGTTACCAATTAGTTCGTGTTGTTTGGTGCCATCAGGTCAAGGACGACTCACAGTGACTCTATGAACAAGAGAGCTGAACCCTGTTCTATCCTGCGCCATCCTCACATTTTCCAACACACAAGAGTCCATTGCAACAGTCAGTGTCAGTCCACCTGGTCGAGGGTCTTCCTCTCCTTCGCTGTCCCTCCACCCTTCCCAGCATCATGTCCCCCTCCAAGAAATAGTCCATCTTTGCAACAGGCCCAAAGTAGGTGAGGCAAAGCCTCATCATCCTTGCCTCCAACGAGCACTCTGACTGCTCCCTCTGCAGGACACATCTGTTCATTTTCTGGGCCCTTCATGGGATGTTCAGGGCAATTCTCCAACACCACAGCGCAAAGACATCGATTCTTTCCTGTCATCTGAATTCATTGTCATTCTTGGGATTGAAAGTGCATTATTTTCATCTTTGTCCATATTAATACTTCTAGGATTTTCCTAGAATGAACACTATATATTAACTTTACCATCAAAATGATTTATTGTTGCATGAAATTTCATCCTTTCTTGTATTTGCTGTTAAGATAACGCATGGAGGGGTGTGCGCACATGGGTGTGCGTGTCTGTGTGCACAGAGTAGTGCGAGGCACATGGAACAAGACAGCGGGGGTGTGGTAACCGCACAGACTGACTGATGTGCACGTGCACGCTCGCCATGCCATGCTTTCCTCGTTTGCATGTTTAAAACTCTTCATAACAAGATGAAGCAATATACACGTTACGAAATATACACGAATACACAATATACACGAACGAAAACTTTAGAGTCTGAGTACTATAGATAGAATGTATTTCTTCATATGCTTAAACTTTTCATTAAAACATCAACCTCATCCCAAGAGTCCACAATTAAGGTTGCATAGTGGAATGTACTTGGGGCAGTGGGAGGGGTGCTGGGGGACTGTGTACCAGGGAGGGAGTGTTTCTTTTACTTTTGAAAGAGGAGCGAACTGGGGTTGGGAGTAGGGCTAGGCCAGGAAAGAAGTGCAGCAATGAATGAATGGAAATCCAAAATCTCTGTAAATGCTCCATAAAATTATTTTTTTTAAAAAAGAGTTTACAAATAGATAAAATGTCATTAAGAAAAAAATAACATTCTTGTGATTTATAGTTTTTTTTTAAAAAAACTATTTAAAAGTAAAAATATGGCATATGCAAAATTTGAAAAAAAACATCGACCTCTGAAGTGAGGCATGTTTGAAGTAGGCACTGTGCCCTGACCTGGCATCCTGGAACTTACAGTGTGCACCTTGGTGCGCCTGCGTCCTGTGTCATGCCTCCACATGTCTGTCCCCTCCACCAAGGGTTGTTCACACGCTGAGTGTGGTGATGCCCTTCACGGCGGAGAGGAGGGCGTTTTCAGCAGGAGGGACACCTGGGGTGCATGATCTTTTTAATGTATTTTAATTTTATACAGGTATGGGCCTGCCAAGTGCGTGCCACGGGAAAAATGTATGCTTGTAAAAAACTAGAAAAGAAGAGAATCAAGAAGAGGAGAGGAGAAACTATGGCTCTAAACGAGAAGAGACTCCTGGAGAAGGTGCAGAGCCGATTTGTAGTAAGTGTCTTGCTGACTGCGCCCTGGTTGACACACAGCACTGGTGTGCAGAGATCGCTCTCCCTGGAGCCCTTGAACTTGAAGGGCTGTCTCTGAGTTGGTGCAGGCTTTCACTGCGGGCACCATTAGCAAGAGCTGGCTGGCGTGGCAGTTCTGTTTTCAGCCCCAACCCACTGGTGTGCTTCCACCCTCACCCCTTTTACTTTTGCTCTTGCCCTCCTGCCAGCGCTCTGGTAGCCTAGTCGTAAAGAATGGCACTGCAGTCCCAAAGGCACACAGTTCAAATCCACCAGCTGCTCTGCAGTTTACTGCCTCTGAAAACCGGCTGGACGGTCAGCGGGACAGTTGGTACGGTCTGACTCAGCAGTGTACAACAGCAACAGCTGCACAGCTGGATCCTACAGAATAAAGTTGGATAGAAACAGTGACAACCAATGCCCTGTTCTCACTTTAGACCCTGGACCGGGAGGGTTCCAGCATGTCTGCTCCGGGTCTGAGGTGGATTGGACAGCTTTCAGGGAGGCAAGCCCATTGTTCCAGTCACCATGTCAGTCTGTCTTGTTGAGGGTCTTCCTCTCTTACGCTGACCCTCCACCTTTCCAGGCATGGTATCTTTCTCCAAGGATTAGCCCTCCTAACAACCTGCCCAAAGTATAGAAGACTCGGTTTCCTCATCCTTGGTCTAAGGAGCACCCTGATCTCACCTCTCCAGGACAGACTTGTTGGTTCTCCTGGCATTTCATGGGAGGTTCCGTACTCTTCACCAACATGACGGCTCAAAGGTATCCGTGCTGCTTCTGGCGTCCTGCTTCGTGGTCCTCCTTTCAGATGCATAGCACTGAGAAAACCACAGCTTGAGTTAGGCGCACCTTAGTTTTTAATGAGCATCGTTGCTCTTCATTCGCCTACGACTCGACAGAAAACATCATCATCTTAACATCAGGAAGGCAGATATCCTCACCACTGGACTGATGGGCAACATCCTGATAGATCGAGAAAAGACTGAAATTGTCGATGATTTTATCGCGCTTGTATTCACCGTCAACACCCTTGGTACAGGCAGTCAGGAAATCAAGAGACATGCTGCTTTGGGCAAGTCCACAGTCAGCGACTCTGCAAAGTACTGAGGGAAAGTGATGTTAGTTTGAAGATTAGGGTGAACCTGATTCAGACCATGGTCTTTTCGTTCACTTGCTGTGCACCTGAGAGCTAGATAATGACTAAGGGTGACAGAAGACTCGACGCCTGTGAGCTGTGGTGTTAGAGAAGAGCACAGAACCTCCCATGACGGCCGAAAGAACAAACAGATACGCCTTGGAGAAGGTGACCGGCATGCTTCCTGGACGCCAGGCTGGTGAAGCCTCCTGTCACATAGTCTGGGCGTGTTTCTGGGAGAGGATATTCCTTGGAAAGGGACATTATGTTTGGAAAGGTGGAGGGTCGGTGAAAGGAAGACCCTCAACCAGATGGACTGACACAGTAATGGGCTCGAGGGGGGTCATTGGTGGTGAAGACGGCACAGGACAGGACAGGGCTCAGGTCTGTTGTTCACAAGGTCGCCATGAGTTGTACTGGACTTGACAGCATCTAACAACAACAGCATGTTGGTTGTTGGCCCAGTAGTGAAGATGTTGGTTTCTTGATGTTGAGCTGTAATCCATCCTGAAAGCTGTAGTTTTTAAATTATGCAAAGAGCTAGAGTCAGAAAATAAAAGGGAAGGACTTGCTTGGCATTTCTTAAATTGACTCAGGCCTTGAGATGTGATACTAAAGGAGCCGTGGGCAAAATGCTGACCGCTCCCGGAGGTACTGGGAGAATACGGAAGGAATACACAGAGCCGCACACCAGAAAGTATCGAACCGTGTCAGGAAATAGCATATGATTGAGAATGAATGGGAAGAAGTTCAAGCTGCACTCAAAGCATTGGCCAAAAAATAAGAAAAGGAAGATTCTCACCACTGGGCCAGTTAGCAGCTTCATGATGGACGGAGAAGACTTTGAGGTTGTTAACAACTTCAGCTTGCTTGGTTCCACCGTCATCATCCTTGGCACCAGCAGTAAGGAAATCAAAAGGAGAATTGCATTGGGAAAGTCTGCTCTAGAGTCCTGGAGAGCACTGATCTCAGTCTGGAGACTAAAGTGCACCGGAGCCGGCCCGTGGTCTTTGCCGTTACTTGCTCTGCGTCAGAGAGCTGGACAATGACTAAGGATGACAGGAGAAGGATCAATGCCTTTCCGTTGTGGCGCTGGAGACGAATGTTTAACATCACATGTACTGTCAGGAGAACAAACAAGTTTGTCCTGGACAGGGTGAAACCAGGCTGTTCCCTGGAGGCAAGGATTTTGAGGCTCTGCCTCACATACTCTGGGCGTGTGGCCAGGAGGGATGAGTCCTTGGAGAGGGACATTGTGCTTGGAAGGGTGGAGGGACAGCGCAGGAGAGGAAGACCCAGGATGAGATGGATCGACTCAGTGACTGGAGAAATGGGATTAAGTCTGTCGGAGATGATGAGCTTGGCTCAGTATCAAGCAGGTTTCAGAGCTGTTGTACATAGGATCACTGAGTCACAGGTGACTCAGTGGCACGTAACAGCAACAATAGCTGGAATACCGATAACATATTCTAATGAACAGATGGGGCCCTGGATGTGCTCTCCAGATTGTGTCAGGAAATCTAGAGGAAGGACAGCTGTCTGGCCAACAGAGTGGAAGAGATCCATCTTTGTTCCCATTCCCACAATAGGTGAGCCAATGGAAATTCTAGAACAGTGTCATTAATACCACATGCAAGCAGTATCTTGTTAAATGTTATTTAAAAACCTGCGGGAACATGGTGCAAACACTATTGGAAGGCAGTTCAGGGCTTTCTTAAAAAGCTAGAAATAGAAATGCCGTTTGACCCAGTAATGCCACTACTGGGACTATACCTGAAAGAAACCAGAACCGCCATCCAAACAGATATGCACACCCATGTTTATTGCTACATCATTTTCAGTAGCAAAGAGATGGGAGCAACCCGAGTGCCCATCAACAAATGAATGGATAGAAAAATGATGGTATATTCCTACAAAGGAATACTGTGCAGCCCTGAAAAACAATGAACTCATTAAACCGTACACAGTGTGGGTGACTCTGCAGGACATTATGCTGGGTGAAATATCTCAGTCACAAAAGGACAAATACTGCATAGCACCACTGTTATAAAGCAGGTCTGACATGAGGGCTTGGGAGGAGAATAGGATATGAGTGGATAGATAATGAATGTTGCACTTGAATAGGTGAAGGAAAGAACTGTTTAAAGGGAATATATGATTGGACATTATATGTATGACAATAGCTCAGAATAACACTGCAGAGAGGACTGGGTGGGAGGTGGGAGGTAATTGTGCAACAAAAAAAGTTTTATTTAAAAAAAAAAGTGAACAGGGGAGAGGGAAGAGAAGAAGTTGTTATTGTTATGTGCCGTCGAGTTGCTTGTGATTCATAGCGACCCTATGTACAACAGCCCTAAACCCTGCTCTATCCTGTGCCAATTGCACCGCCTCTGACACACCCATCCCGATTACCCCAGTCACCGAATCAATCCACCTCATAGAGGGTCTTCCCCTCCTGCGCTGTCCCTCTACCCTACCAAGCATGATGTCCCTCTCCAAGGACCTCTCCCTCCTTGCAACATGTCCAAAGTATGTCAAAGCCCCAGAATCCTAGCCTCCAAGGAGTAGCCTGGTTTAACCCTCTCCAGGATGAATCTGTTTGTTTTCTTGGCAGTCCAGGGTACGTTCAATACTCTTCTCCAGCACCACAGCTCAAAGACATCAATTCTCCTTCTATCCTCCCTAGTCATTGTCCAACTCTCTGATGCATAACAAGTGATTGCAAAGACCATGGCCTGTATCAGGTGCACCTTAGTCTCCAGAGAGACACTGTTGCTCTTGAGTACTTTAGAGAGGTCCCTAACCGCAGACTTTCCTATCACGATACATTTTTTATTTCCTGGCTACTGGTGCCAAGAGTGTTGACCGTGGAGCCGAGCAAACTGAAGCTGTGAACAATCTCAATCTCTTCGCCATCCATCCTGATGCTGCCAATTGGCCCAGTGGTGAGAATCTTTGTCTTCTTGACATTGAGTCTCAGTCCATACTGAAGGCTGCAGTCCTTGACCCTTTGGAGCAAGTGCATGAGGTCCTCCTCAGTTTCAGCAAGCAGGGTTGTGTCATCTGCATAATGCAGATTGTTAATAGATCTTCCACCAATCCTGACGCCACATTTCTCCTCATAGAGCCCAGCCTCTCAGATAATCTGTTCTGTATACAGGTTGAAAAGGTATGGAGATAGGAAGGGAGGAGGTAAAAATGCGCAACGTAAATGAATGAAAATCTAACTTCTGTAAACTTTCATTAAAATCACAAAATTTAAAAACTTATATAAAATATAACCTACAAGAACAGTATAGCAGCAAGAGAACTGCCAGAGGCTTGAGCAGGGCTTTAAAGAGGCTGTGTAGCACCAGGGATAGCAATTCTGTATCAAATAGATCGTGGTCAAGAGCAGAGAATACCAGAAGAGTGTCTATTTGTACTTTATTGACTATGTAAAGGCGTGTGACTGTGGGTCACAAGTTACAGCTACCAGTGTGAAGAATGGGAATCCCAGAACACGTGACTGTGCTCCTGCACAACCTGTATCTAAACCAGTGCACAGTTTTCAGAACAGCAAGGGAACATGGCACGTTTTAAATCAAGAAAGGTACGCATCAGGGCTGTACCCTTTCTCCATACTGATTGAGTTTGCATGCTGAACAAATTACTTGAGAAGGTGGATTTATGAAGAAGAATGTGGCATCAGGATCAGAGGAAAACTCATCAACAGCCTGCGTTATGCAGACGACACGACCTTGCTCGCTGGAAGGGCTGAGAACTTGAAGCGCTTAGCTTACAGGAGCGCCCACAAATGGCGTTTGTATGCTGCAGGGTGAGAGGTGACTCGGCTGACCCGGGAAGGCCTTCACAGGTGGTAAACGGGATTTCTAATCTCACACACATTGTTTGAGTCTTGTCTGCACTTCAGTAAATTGCAAGGGAAACCTCAGTTTCTCTCTGTTTGGTTTCTGTGACCCTGTCGTCTTAGGTTAGTTTATCCTACACCTACCAAACCCGAAACGCCTTGTGCTTGGTGCTGACCATTATGAACGGAGGTGACCTGAATTTCCACATTTACAACTTGGGCAGTCCTGGCTTTGATGAGCAGAGAGCCGTGTTCTACGCTGCAGAGCTGTGCTGTGGCCTGCAAGACCTCCAGAAAGAGAGAATTGTGTACAGGTGAGTAAGCCTGAGGCCAGCCGAGGGGCCTGGGGGCCTGCACAAGCCCACCCAGCGGCTCTGGGGCCAACCAGGAGGGCAGCTGAGAGGCCACCCGTGGGCCACTCCTCTGAGCGTGCCTCACGTGCAGAGTTTTTGACTTTGCTGCTGTTGATTCTTTTTATGGGCCCTTGAGTCGACTGTGCCTCACAGTGACCCTGAGACCAGGAGCTTTGAACTCTGTCCTCTCCTGAGCTAACCTCAGCATCTGCCACAGTCACCGTGCTGGTCCCCCTCATCCTGGCCCTTCCTCTACTGCGTAAACCTTCTGCCTTTCCAAGCATGATGTCGATGTCTTGTTTCCAAGGCCCCTCTTGACAACATGCCCAAGTATATAAAATGGAGTTTTCAAACCATTGCTCCCAAGAAGCATCCTCTCCAGTGCAGACTGTTCTCTGGGCAGTCCATAGAACAATCTAGACTCTTCTTCATCATCACAACCCAAAGCCTTCCATTCTTCTTCTGTCATTCTTAGTCATTCGCCAGCTCTCAGCTATATGTTGTTGTTGTTAAGTGCCGTCGAGTAGCAGGCAACTCATAGTGACCCAATGAAGGAGAGTCCTCGACGCTTGGGTGCCTTTCATCTTCTCTCCAGGTTCATAGGGTTTCCGGAGGCAAGCTATTACGGAAGTGGATGCCACTCCTGCTTCCAAGCTCAGCTATATAGCAAGCGATTATAAATACTATGGCTTGGATCAGGTATACCTTAGTCTTAAAATGACATCATTGCTCTTTAGGACTCTGGAGGTGTCCTTGACAGATTTTTTTCCTCCCTATAACTTGTCACATGATCTCCTGACTGCTACTGTTAAGGATGTTGATTGCGGATCTAAACAAAATGAAATAATCAACAACTTCAATCTTTTCTCTATCATGATGCTGCCTGTCGGCCCAGTGGTAAGAATTTTTGTTTCCTCAGTGTTGAGGTGCAGTCTGTATTGAAGGCTGCACTCTTTATCTTCTGCAGGAAGCGCTTCAGGTCCTCCTCAGTTATAGTGAGCAAAGTGATGGTGTCTGCATAATGCAGGTTGTTGATGAGACTTCCTCCACTTCTGATGCCACATTGTTCTTCATAAAATCCAGCCTCTTGAATGATCTGTTGCTATAACATGCAAGCGAAATATTGCTGGAGATTATACAAAAAGGACTAGGTCAGTACATTGACAGAGAACTGCCAGAAATACAAGCTGGATTTAGAGGAGACAATGGCACCAGGGACATCCCTGCTGATGTCAGATCGATCTTGACTGAAAACTTAAAATACCAGTAACATTTTTACTTGTGTTTTATGGACTATGCAAAGACCTTTGACTGTATGGATCACAACAAATTTTGGCTAACATTGAGAAGAATGGGGATCCCAGAACACTTGATTGTGCTCATGTAAAAATCTATACTTAGATCAAGAAGTTGTTTGTCCTGATACAGCAAGGGAACAATGTATTGCTCAAAATCAAGAAAGGTGTGTGTCAGGATACATCCTTTTTCCCTATCCTAGTTTTAACTTTGTTGTTGTTGTTGTCGTTATTATGTGCCATCAAGTCAACTGTGATTCATAGAAACCCTATGCATTCTACCCTGCCCTGTCCTGAGCCAGTCTCACTGACACACCTACCCCCGTTACCCCGGTCGCTGTGCCAAGGAGCAGCATGCTCTCACCCTCTCCAGTACACACCTGTTTGTTCTCTTGGAGGTCCATGGTGTGTTAAATACTCTTCTCGAGCACCACAAGTCAAAGGCATCAATTGTTCTCCTCTCACCCTTAGTCACTGGCCAGCTCTCTGACAGATGGCAGTAATTGTGAAGACCCTGGCCTGCATCAGGCACACCTATGTGGCACACTCTCTAGATGACATTGTTGCTCTTCAGCACTTTGGAGGGGTCCCAACAGCAGATTTTACTAATACAATTCATTTTTTTTGTTGTTGAGGTTTTTTATTTTATATTGATTTGCTTACAAAGTTCATATACATTGTGTTTCACACAGCTGTGTGGCGGTGCTGAGCACCTCTCTGCACTGATCCTGTTGGCCAGGGGTGTGCCAGGTCTGTCCTGTCCTGGATCCACCCAGCTTGGGGCTGTGCCTGACCACTCTTGCTGGTGGCCCTCACCGTGGGAACACCTGGGGGTTTCTGCTGGGGTTGGAGGACTCTGAACAGCTCAGCTCTTGTTTCTTTCCTCACAGAGACCTGAAGCCTGAGAACATCCTGCTGGATGACCGGGGTAAGTGAGCTCACTGCAGCGTCCATAGCTGGTGTGCATGCTTTCTGTGCTTCGCTTACCACGTCTGCACACATGCTGTTACAGAAATGTTATGTTGACCTGGACCAGGGCACATGCCGTGGATGGAATCAGGCGGGGGAGGAAAGAGGGAAAATGAGGAGTATAAAGGGCATTGCGGTTGTTATGTGCCATTGAGTTGCCTGAGACTCACAGCGACCCTATGCACAATAGCTCTGAACCCACCCTGTCCTGACTATACAGGTTTGCATAGACATTAAGCAGTAAGTAATAAGGAAACTGCAACAATCAGTGGTAAGTAATGTCTATGAATAATTTCTGAAAAAAAAACCCAATGTGATTTACACACTTTAATCCATAATATCGATTTTAAAAGAAAACAAACCCCCAGAGATGATGTGCTTTCAGAGGGTTAGTGTTTCATCGTGCTGGTGACTGCTGTGCCGGGTGAAGTGCCTGTGGAGCGCGGCGTGAGGGTGAGGCGGAGGGACACTGACCCAGGTGACCCAGCACCATTCACTGAAAAGACTTTCCATCCCAACTTCCACCAGTTACTGCACGAGACTTTCTCTCTCTCTCTTTTTTAATTATTATTAATGTTAATGAAAGTTTACTTTGGGTTTCCATTCATTCATTGTTGTACTTTTCTACCTGCCCACCCCTCCCCTCCAGATAACTGTTCTCTTTGAAAAGTGAAATTCTTTCATTGTTATAAAATCCCTCACCCCAGGTCCACTCCACTGTGCAGCCTTCATTCTGGACTCCTGTCATGACAGTAATACCTAATCATATATCCCTTTTAAACAGTTCTCTATCTCATCTGTTCCGATGCAGTAGACATCATTTATCCCATCTTTCTCAGTCTCCCCCCCCAACCCCTATGTCATTCCTATTTTGCAGTGGTGGCACTATACAGTATTTGTCCTTTTGTGACTGAGATATTTCACTCAGCATAATGTCCTCCAGGGTCACCCATTTTGAATAATATTGCATGAGTTCCTTGTTTTTCAATGCAGCGTAGTATTCCTTGTGTGAATATACCAGAGCTTCTCTATCCATTTGTTTGTTGATGGGCTCTTAGGTTGTTTCCAACTCTTTGCTGTTGTGAACAAAGCCACGATAAACATGAGTGTGCATATTTTTAAAATAAACTTGGTGAGTGGTGTATGAGCTTACCAGCATTGTCTGCATTTGGAGAGTGGGGGAAACATCTGGACTTGGCGTTAGACGAGCTCCAAAGGGCCATCCAAAGCAGGTGGCTTTTCTCCGCATACACAGGAGCAAGAAACTATGCTGGTCAAGCTTCCGACTGGCCAGCTGCAGTCCCTTCCTTGAGGTCTAGTGGAGTCTGGGACTCGGTGTAACCGAGGAGGCAAACTCACATTTCACGTCCCAGGAGAGACAGCGGACTGACAGGCTCCAGCTCCTGGGAGGACCAGGCATGTCCAGGAAATGAGAGCTCTCTAGGGTCAGGTTTGCTGGTGTGGGCTGAGCTCAAGGGACTCCGTGTGGAGCTGAAACCAGTCAGGCTAACAGATTGCGGGTGTGGCATAACTGCTGTGTAAACACTTCCTCGTTTTCCTCTAGGAAAGTAGAACTCTGTGTTTTGGAAGCATTAGAGGAAAAGTGGGCCAGCGTCTGTCGCATACTGTCCCTGTGACCTGTACCTCTTCAGTGTGCCAGCACTCAGCTGGTTACTGTCGTGTGCCATCGAGGCTGAGCTTTCTCACAGCGGACCCTCCAGAGGCTGTAAATGACGCAGGAGGAGACGGCCATCCTTCTCCCACAGAGGAGCCGATAGATTCAACCCTCGGGCCTATGTGATTGCATCCGATAGAGTTCTGCATTAAGGGAAACTTGGCACCTCAGTTCACCTGGTGATTATGATCAGATGGCCTAATTCCTGTCTTCTCTGTAGGAGTGACCTTGGTTTGCTGGCATTGATATTGCTGTTGTTAAATGCTGTTCGGTCACGTCTGAGTCCTAACGACCCTGTGGACTGCAGCTCAGCTTGTCCAGTCCTGTGCCGCCCTCACTGTGTCCCCCAGGCCTAAGCCTGTGGGCGTAGTGCTGTGTCAGTCCATCTCGTGGAGGGTCTTCCACTCTGCTCACCTTCTCCTGTTCCGAGCGGGATGTCTTTTTCCACAGACTGGCCCTTCCGGAAGCAGGCCCTGACCATGTGAGCCCACCCTCACCGTCCCCACTGGTCAGAAGTATCCTGATTGACTCCCTCCAGCTCGATTTGTTCATTCTTTGGGAGTTTGGTAGTTTTTGTTGTTTTCATAGAGGAGAGGCTTAACACATACTGTGTTTAAGTAGAATTGTATTTTTTTAATTTTAGGCACCAAAACTTTTATTAACCCACCTTCCTACTCTTAACATATTATAAGCCAAGTTAACCACTTTGTTTTTCTTTTTTCTTAAAATCTTTTTTTTATTAGTGTGTGTGTGTGTGTGTGTGTGCCATCAAACCAGATCTGACTGGTACAGGAGGAGATTGTCCTTCCTTCTCCAGCAGAGAGCATCTGGTGGATTCCAACTGCTCATCTCTGGGATTGCAGTGCAGCTTCTTTGCCACTAGGCCACCAGAGCTCACCCAAGTTAGCCACTTTGAACACAGGGTTGTGATAGGAACCGGCATGTTAGGTCAACCCAGACTGGCCTTGACATTTTTCTTTCCTCTCCCAATGTCTGCCTGTCACTTCCATTTTGGCCATCCTTAACAAGCCTGCTCTAACCCCTGTAAAATAGGGACTAAAAGGGCCAGTCTCTCTGGGCCCAGCGCCGGAGAATGCCCAGCACTATGAGAAGGCCGGGCACGGTCATCCACACAGCTCCACGGGGCCCTTGTGTTGAAGGCATCTTCTCATTGGTGCTGGGCTGAGGGACCCGTGAGGACCAGGTAAGGACCACTGCTCCCACCACCTTCAGGACCCTGTGTGCCCCCACGAGTGTCTCCTTCACACCTCCACCATCACAAGGGCTTTGAAAGAGGAGGGACACCGAGGGGGCCAAAGGCTGAGTGACCAGCCCGAGGGAGTCAATCAGGAGGGGCAGAGTGGCAGTGACAAACCAAGCTCAAATGAGTACCATTTGTTCTAGCAAAGAACTGCAGCCTGGCCAGGGACAGCAGTGGAAGGCGAGGGACAGGGCTGGCTTTTGGTGATGGTAGTGGTCAGCTTTGAAGGGGCCATGGGAGGGTATGGCCAGGTGCTTTGTCAGCTTCTCAGTCAGCTTGCCCAGGTGCGCTTCAGCCACTGCCCTGCCCAACTTCGCGGGTGGGAAGTGGACCCCAGAGACATACCTGTCCGGGCGACTGCACAGTTCAGTCTGTATCAGTGCCTGGTTGCTGGAGGAGGTGCTCATCACAAAGCTGGGGTGACTGGCCAGCTGGCCCTCGGCCAGCAGGATGATGCAGCGCCCCCTCCTCAGCCGATCCCCGGGGCCTTCAGTTCACCTTCTCCACAGCATTCAGGTGGAGCCACTTGACTTCCATCTCCACGTCCAGGTGTCCTGTGTTACACGATGGCATCACCCTGCACCTGTGCAAGGTGCCTCAGCCGTGCCCTCCTTCCAGCCTCACCCGTGGCCTCCTTCCAGCCTCACCCGTGGCCTCCTTCCGGGCCTCAGACATAGTGGTTAACTCACCGCCCTCCATGGCTGCCTGCAGCACGACGATCGGTCTATCTCAGTGATACTAACTCAGGCCACAAACCTGTCAGGCCTGGACACAGCCCTTGCCCACGTCGCCATAGCCACCGCCACCTTGCCTGCAATCACATCAGTGGCCCTCTCGGTGCCACCTGTGAGGGATTCCCGGCAGCCATGGAGGCTGCCAAGCTACCAGGCTCTGCTGACAGAGCCCTTGACATTGAAGGCAGGCACCTTCAAATCCCATTGGCCTTCTGATCCAGGTTGTGGACTCCAGTCGCGGTCTCTTCAGAGATACCTGGATACCTGATAAGAGCTGTCAGTACTCATTGTGTTTTGTATATAATTGAATTTTATTTCCCTGAACTCTGTTGCCATTTGTTCCTGAGGAAAAAGAACTCTCCATGGTGTGTTTGCTTTGCTCTTGACCTTCAGCCCACCTGAGTCTGGCCCCTGATAACAGTGTTGGTGGCAGCCTCCGTGTCTGCTGGACGCAGTGACAGAATGGACACTGTGTGCTTTTCAACTGGAACTCTGGTCTAATGGCAAGAAGCTGCTCTGCAGTCCTGAAGGCGTGTGGTTCGAGGCACCAGCCACTCTCCCATGCAATTAACTGCCTCTGAAAACTGGCTGGAGGCTCAGCTTTGGTTGGGTTCCCACCCTGTGGTCCACAACAGCAGCTCTGATTGAGGGGTTTCCTGTCTGCAGCCAGACAGGAATCTACCTGCTGCCTGTGTGGAGCTGAAGTCACTGCAGGCATCTCACTAAACAAGGGACGTCCCTGTCCTTTCTGGTTTCAGCGCATCAGGTGGACTGCATTGCGCCCAGCCCCCATTCTTCTGACGGGTGTCCTGTGTTTGATCACACAGGACACATCCGGATTTCAGATCTCGGGTTAGCTGTGGAGATCCCTGAAGGGGGCACGGTCCGAGGGAGAGTCGGGACCATCGGTTACATGGGTACGTGAGCGCCCACCCAGGGGCACTGCCTGCCTGCCTGTGTGCTGCGTGCCTCAGGAAATCGGATGGGTGCCCCTGCCTGTTCTCACACTGGCTTCTGTCAGACCCGCCCCGTCCACCATCCTCTGTCTGCAGAGGACTCAGTCTCGGTGTCCCCGGGCCAGGCAGCTCTTCGCAGCCTTTTAGAGTGTGTGACTGAATAGTTTTCCATTGATTCATAGATTGGGGCAGCTATCGGCACTGAGTGTCCAATGTTCCATCACCCAGACGAAGCCCTGCACTGTGGGCACTGCTTTCAGTCCCCAAAGCACGACTTTGCTTTCTACCTCTGTGGGTGTGCATCCCGAGTATGCCGTGTGCACAGCACACGACACTGCACACAGCATCTCACATAGCACACGACATTGCACACAGCACACGACATTGCACACAGTACACGACATTGCACACAGCACACGACATTGCACACAGCACACGACACTGTACACAGCACACGACATTGCACACAGCACACGACATTGCACACAGCA